TAATCTTATTGAAAAATGTGAACATTTTTATATTAAAGTTTTTATTAAGCCAGTTGTTAATATCTATTTAGTTTTGACGACATATTTTTTCATAATTTAATGTACTTAAATAATGCAATGCATTTACTTGTAATGTATGTAAATACGTACGTAAACTTCTCTAAATATATTGTAAGCCTTGAGTATAGATTAATGAAGTTTAACAATAGTTTTCTAATTTGTTGTTATTATATTGTAATCCAAGTATTAAGTTACAAAGTTTCAAGCATATTCGTAACTTTTATAGATGCCGAGATTATGTATTACAGTTATTTGTAGTAAAAAAAATGTTTTAGAGTTATTGGTTAAAAAACAAACTTGTAGTTATTAGGTAATAAGAGAAAAAATATTACAACAAAAATAAATAACTATTAAAAATTGGAAAAAAATTACTTTAAGTATTAAAATACAATTTGATAACTTAACACCGCAAAAATCATTAACTTATATACTTCCGCGTCCTAGTTTTATAATTTGTCAATTACTATATCATTCCTCGACAAGTTATTTTTGGATGTCAACTTTATTACGTGATTATTTAGTTATATCCTGGTAAAGTAATAAGAAATAATGACTATACAGTTTTTAAAGTATAAAAGAGTACAAATTAGTCTTAGAAAATGTTATTACATTATGTTAGACTTTCTCGTTAAAAATAATAAAATTTCGTTATGTCAATGTGTCATGGCAAATTTATTTAAAGAATCTTCAAGAAAAAAACATCAATGTGGAAGTGTTTCAAATAAGTATTTTTAATAACGTAAAACTAAGTGTCAAGGTAATAACACGGTTGAGGAGATCTTAGAAAATTTTACAGTGATTATCCTCTATCATCAATATGATGTTTATCATATATAATGATTTTAAAATGAAACTTTTTTAATATAATAAAATATTTTCAATCTTTTAAAAAATCAATAATTTTTATCTTTGAGAGCTACTGATTTAAATAGAATTTTTTTAATCGAATATAACAAAATATGAATTTCAACTATAAAATGACTCATATTGGTTGTTATTATCTTATGTAATAAATTAATATGTGCGAATTTTTGGAGGCTTAGCTCCGCGCAACTATTTATGTTTATAATTAAGTGGTGCAGCTCAATCTTAAGGAGTCCCAAAGTAGTGTCTAAAGCCCGTTCGTCTTGAAAAATACTCTTTATAAATTTTGATGATTTCTTCAATACAAAATTTTAAATTTAAAATTATTAAAAAAAAACCCTTATGATAGTGATTTTAAACAGTATCATAAGAAACGCTTCGATGCAAACCTCTCGATAGTATTTAATTGTTGAATTATTTTAAAAACAACATCAACTTCTATTTCTTTATTTCTGATTTTAAGTTTATGATTTATAAGCAAAATAAATGAATAAATACAAACTATAAAAAAGAAATTTAGTATGACAATTATATTCAATATTTTTTAATGTAATTTTTTCGGAGAATTTATAAAAAATTAGAAAGTAGTTATTACTTTTATGCCAAACGTGTATAAAAATTGAAGGGATCCACAAAGAACTTTTGAAATAATAATTTATTGTTAATTATAAATAAATGGTCTGCAAAAAATTTTTATCAGAGTCAAAAATATACTTTTATTATTCATTTTTTCGTGCTAATTTCAAATCAGCAATTATGTTTTCCATCATCAATATTTTTTGATATTATTACTAATTAGTTAAAGACTAAAGGATATAACTATAACGGAAATTTTTTAATATTTTTTAAAGTTTTGAATATTTTAATTGTATCATCTATTTAAACATCAAGAGTTACATAGAATTTATTAATATTTCTTTTGAAATGATTTATTACGGTAAAAAATAATTGACAACACAAAATAATTATTTTTAAATTATTACAGATTTTGATTTTTAATATTTTAAAAATAATCAGTGCAAAATATCATTTTTAACCTATTTTTTTGGTTTTTTAAAGTTGATTTTTTGAAAGTTTATTATAAAAAAAAATTGAATTTGTAACCATAACTTTTGACTCCACTTTAAGTTTAAAATTTACATTATTAAATAGAAAATTTTATGAGAATAAAAAAATAGTATTGCTAAGATTAACATACAGTCAGGAAATCGTATAATTACTATTTATCAGAAAAGCTCAATATTTTTTTTACATTTTTGTTGTAATAGATATCTTAAATAAAAATAATAGTAATCATTTCTAAGTAATTTTTGGTGTTTAAAAATATTTTACAATTGAAATATTCAGAACATAATTAAAGATTTACTTTAATTAAAATGGTGTTAAAAAATTCTACTCAATTGAGTGTATTATAAAATTTGATTTATATTGTAAAATTTTTTTGTTATATTCAGGAGAAAATAAAAATCCTTTTTTTTAGATTTATGATTTATACAGCAACATGTTACCAAAAAATTTGGAATATTATAGAATGTTAGTAAAACACAAATAAAGTTAAAAAATTAATATATTACTAAGTACAATTATTTAATTTTGTAGTTGAAACCTATTATCATATCAAATCTAATTCAACAATAAATATTTTAAAAACATTAAAAATGAATGATTTGAATTGTCTATATGGAGAATGTGAACTAAGTAAATTTTTCATTGATAAAGTGGACATTTTTTGAATTNAGTAAATTTTTCATTGATAAAGTGGACATTTTTTGAATTTTAGAGTGTAATATCTTTAATTAGATAATAGTTGTGTTCATTTGATGTATCGTTAAAAAAAGTTGGTCTAGTGAGAGCTGAGAAAATAGTCAGAAATTTTTTTTCCCCATAATAAAGTATATTACATTAGCTTTGATATAAGATATATATAATTATGTCAGAGTTTCCGGAACACTTTAAAAAATTAAGTTGAAAAAGTTCTACTTTTCAAAACAAAAAAATGCATATACACATTTTTTTGTTTTGTATCCCTCCTGTGTAAAGGGAAATGGTCCGATTTTTAAAAAAAGTATGTCGCATAAAAGAATTATATTAATAGTACATATATTAAAAAAAAAATATACTAATCCGTACATTTTTTAAAAAGTTATAGCTTTATAAAGTTAAAATATAAAAATAATTGTTTTTACAAAAATCATATTTTTATTATTAACTTTGATGTCTGTTTTCAACGTGAAGACAAAATAAAGTTTTAAAGATTTCTCCCATTTACGGGGAACGAGGGAAATTTTTCCATTTTTGAGGGTTATGTCTTCGACTAGATGCGTTTTGTGATCTTTATTCGTTGAAAGAAATCGGTTAGGTGAGAGCTGAAAAAAAGTGGTAACAGACACAAAAAAAAAATACATCATAGTAAAATTAATACCTTCTCAGTTTTGCATAGAAATAAAAAATTTTGTGGTGCTTCAAAGTATACTTTGCAACTTTCCTGCTAGTTTCGCCATCGTGGATGATTAGCTATGGAGCAGAGGAGCACAATTAGTCTAACTCAAAACTGAGTTAGAATAGTTCTAAAACTTAGTGGCTCTCATATTGTTCTTTCAATATTTTACGGGAATTGAGAGAAGGTTTGCCTAAACAGTGCCCAAGCCTCCTAATTTTTCATACTTATTTATTTATAATACATACAAATACAATTATAAATATGGCGCCTAAACCCAGTAAATTATTTTCCAAACCCTTTTTGTTTATAATTATTGAAGTTCTGGTTGGCTTATACATGATTACTATCATACAATAAAATATGACAACCGTTTCTAATTCTAAATTGTTTTCTTTATTTGTTATAATTATTACTTATATTATTTTTAATGTATATTGTTGATATTATTTTTTATTTTATTTTTCGTGCTAATGCAGTGATGTTAATTTAAGCCATAGAATGTAGTGTTTAGCAATTATAATACATATATTTATTAAAAGCTTTTAAATGAAAAAAACCTATAAAAATCGTGAAAATAATAAAGGTAAGTGGATTTATACCTTACTAGCTCGGTTTTAAATAATATCAAGGCCATTACTGTTGTAGCTAGTGATGTAAAATTACTATAATAAACTTTTTTGAGAATATTTTTTTAAACATATTTTATTATAATTTATATTGCCTCAAAATGAAGGAGTTGGCCTGACCTATAGGGTAGAAACGTATGTTACGGCGCACGGGGTCCCGATTTCGATCCCTAAGATGCCAACGAGATTTTTCTTGTGATTTTTTCATTGATAGTGTCTGGTCTCTGGTGCAAACCGACTATAATATCCGCACTGTTTATCATTCGCCTAGCAAGAACCATTTTGGTTGGTTAATAAATGTAAAAGAGGGCCACCACCCTTCGTTGCATTTTAAGTTTGGGTAATAGAAGGATTGAGTTTACAAACACTTTAGAGTTACATTCAGAAGTAACCAAATTTATACTTGACAACCAAATTGAGCTTAATTTTTGGAAAAAAATAAAGAAGTCTTAGTAAGTTATTCCATTTTTTAACGTTTTTCTTCTTTTTAATGCGTTTGAGGAGCATAGAATTGTATAATTGGTTAATTTTTATTCGGATTATCTCAAGCTAAAAAAATTAATTTGCATGTGATCAATTTTGTACTTTTTGGCCAATTCTGGACCTCGCATTGATGTAAAATATAATAAAACAAGTTAAAAAGAATATTCTCTTCTTTTGAAAATATTCTCAAAACACATTTCCGAGATTATTTTCAAAAAATATTATTACGTTAATTTTATTTCACCGCGTATATCATCATTATCATACTGTTATTATTATTATTAAAATTCATTGAGTATTTTTGTTTGTAATAATTTGTATTGAACTCACAATGAACTCAAATAGCTTGTCAAGTAAAATAGAAATAAACACGTTTTATGCATACATAGTATTAGCCCTGCAATTGATATTTTAATAGTGAGGTTTTTTTTAACAGGACCTGTTTATGTAGTGGCTAACAATCTACCACAAGGCTGCGCTGATTGTATTCGGTCTGCTCTAGGGATGGACGGGTAAAGCTCGGCAACCGTTACCGTCAGCACAGGAATTCCATCCATTGTCGCCGTTGATCGCGCGTATCGGCCGTTTGTCTCCGCTGCTACCGTTTTGCCGCATGTGATCGTACTACGTTTAAGAAGTTTTAATTAAATATCCGGTTTTTGTTTGTTTTGCCTTGGAACAGTTTTGTTCATCGAGTTTTCTTTGTGCGTTTGACTTCAAAAAGTACGTGATTAGATACGTTTGTTTTAGTGTATATATATGTATGTGTGTGTGTGTGCAAAAAATAAGGGAGTTTATTTGAAAATATCTGTCAAAGGTCAGTAATTGTATACAATTATTATATAACTATATAAATTTAGCTGATTAGATAATTTTTGATACGTACGTAGTATATTAAATATTACAATATTAAAAGTACTTAGGTACTGTAACAGTATCTAAGTTCTAAATTAGATAGTTTATATCAATCAAAGTCAATCAGTTTATCAAATATTTCCAGATGAAGTTAACTTCATCTTGAAAGATGAAATAGTAAATTGAAAAAAATTAAAAATAACAATTTTAGTGAATAAATATTTTAAAAAATGGGAAAGTATTGTATTAAATTATTTGAGTGCTGCAATATCCAATAGATTATATTTATATTTGATGTGCCGAGTTTATCTATACGGCTGTTTCAAGTATATTTACAGTTAAATGCAATTTAAATACAAGGTTTGAGATTTAGTGATGTTATGAAATTTTAATGAATCTCAAAACACTTTTGCCTCTTTCATCTAAATACTGTGTATGGAGGAATACTTGAGCACGGCAACATTCTGAATGTTAAGGAAGTGTTGACGGAATATCAGACCATTAGTTCCGGGTGACATTTTTCAATTGGTTCAAATTACGGTTTTCCATCAAGGGTATGAGTATACCATTGCTTTTTATACTTTCAAGGAGGCGTTAATGACAACTGATCGATAAAGCATTTAGAATTACAAAAAAATTGTAAAAAAAGGTCTTGGTTCTTGACACTGTACCATGAAAAATCGTTATTTTTATCTTTTATCGCTGTTATTCTTGCAAATATTACATTATTCGATGAAAAAGTTTATGAACAAGAAGAATTATAAATCTTTGATCTAAGTTTAATAATTAAAGCGATCCATAAAAAATGTTACATAAAAGACTAATGTCAATAATTAGAATGCTAAATAAAATTTAATTTGTCTTTATTTTTAGTACTTCATATTGTAATCATAATTTTTTTTATAATTTAAGCTTCTTTGTATTAATTTATTCATCAATACTTCTTTTAATTATCCCTGCAATAGAGTCGTTTGTTGACATTTTATATATTGTTGTTGTAATGATTTAATTACTGTGTGTACTAATTCGATTATAAATTTAATATATTTGTTAAAGATTTGACGGTGTTTCTTGATTAAATAAAAGTGAAAATTAATTTGTAACTTTATTAATTATAAAGTACAGCCTTTATAGAATCAAATTTTTTGTATATTAAGGCTATTGTACATTTTTAAAAAAGGAATATTTACGTTTCTCTATATAGTTGATTACTTTAAATTCTAGTTACCAACTGGCACGGGTTGCATTTTATTTGATCAGCCATACTACAATGATAGTTGTCCTTTATTATACAACCCCTCTATCATTAGTAGATTGTATAAGAATTAAAGGGCATTTGAAGCACTAGGGGGATTTCATACTATACATAAAAAATCAAAATAATTATAATAGACTGTACATTTAAAAATAAATAATATTGTTTTAATAAAGCTATTCAAACTATAATAATTTAACCAACGAGAATATATCATAGATTTAAAAAATTTAATTAATTACTTTTGTCTCACATTAAAAAAAGTTTTAATTATAAAATTAAGTAATAATTTTGTAGTGTGTTTAAATTGTCTGTTATATATCTAATATAATTATTAATTACACTTGTTTACAACAAAATTGACCTATGACTTATGATAGTGATAATATAATGAAAAGGTTTTTTCTCAGTACACGAAAAACGCTAATTTCGCAATAACTCAAAAACTGTTCTACTTTTTGTATTTTGGACTTCATTTTCGGACTCAGTGGACGATTTTACATAAAAAATGACTATCATAAGTTATAGGTCAGAAAATTTTTTTTTATTTGTAAACTAGTGTTATTAATCTATATTAAATATTAATGATGTGTTGAACGGTTCTATTTTTATACCAAACTTAGGATTCAATTCAATAAGGTAACTTAAAGTTTTAAAAAAACTAATCAAACTCTTTATTTTAAATAATTAAAAATTGAATTAGTATATCCAAATATTATACTAAATTTTTGAAATTGAAAGCACGGTTAGGGGATGGTTCAATCCCAAAAATCAGGGTTGGTAATAACTTTATTAATTATCTATTTTCCTAAACTTAACATCAACAATTAACTTTATTAATAATAATGGATGAGAAAGGTGCACTGAAAAAAACCTTAGTAAAAGCAACAAATTTATTGTTAATATATAGCGGACAATAAATTTTTGTTGATTACATAAAATATGTTGTTCCAATAACAAAAATATGATTGATTTAACAAAAAAAAAATTGTGGGCTATATTTTTTTCCATTGTATACAAGATGATCGGTTTATCATAAACCGCTGAAGTACTCTCAAATAAATATTGAAATAAAAATTTTAATTTCTTTAGTTAAATATATTTCTTGATTTACCAACTAATAATTTTTAAAAAAAATCCCTCATAACTTAAAGGGGTGTCCTGCTTCAACCGTTTTAATGCTAATCTGTACTTAGTGTATAATTGAAAGAAATTGGTGGATTATTCCAAAAGCAACGTCAAACATTTCCTTAATTATATCCTGATTTAAGTTATTTAGTTAATAAGTTTAATATATAAATAATTATTTAATAATTTATAGTTTTAATTATAGTAATTAATCTTGTTAGTATGAAATTGATATTCAATAATTTAATATTGTAAATTTTGTAGTAGTTTTAAGAAAAAAAAGTCGAAGTTTATCAATTTTAAAAATTAAATTTTTTGAGGATAATTACTCATCTACAGGGAATAATTTAATTTTTTTTTTTTCAAATTTCAAAGGCAATGTCTTCAACTAGATACGAATTGTGGTCTTTTGACATACCATTGAAAGAAATCGGTTCCGTATGATCTGACAAAAGTGGCGACAAATATAAAAAAAAACGCGTAGTAAAATTAATACTTTCACAACTTCGCGTCGAAGCTAAAAAATATATTTATTCACAATAATAATGTCTACTTTCAAGTTGAATAATTTCCTGAAAGTTGAGTTTATAATAAATAAAAGGGTTTTAATGGTTAAAAAAAGGGCGGGAATTAAAAAAAAATTAAGTTAGGACTTCTTCTAAAATGTCAAAGTTAATTTTCACATTATTGGAAAATTTATTGTAAGTTCATAAATATTTAAAATTTATGTAATAACTTTAATGATATTTAATGAATATATTATTTAAAAATTAGAATTTTGTTAATTCAAGATTTTTATCTTATAACACTTTTAACTGGCCAATAATTATATATTTGTAACATTTAATTTGGAAACACCCCGAGGGATTTCTTTTAGTTAAAATCGACAAAGGATTTTTTTAATACATATTATTCATTGGTTAAATTTTTATTTAAAAATTCAACTTCCCGTCTTAATTAATAACTAAATCTTTATAACATAAACGTTCAAAAAAAAAAAATGGTAAAAATTAACTTGTAACCATGGAAACAAATAAAATTGGTTTTATTTACTTAAATGTATTATTATTTCATGAATTATAAAGTATTTTCTTTATAATAAAAATTATCTGTTTAAATATCTACTACGAATTTTTTAAAAATATTTTTTATAAATAATAATAAAGTTAAACATAAGCGCTACTAGGGTGTTAGAGGTGCTTAAGCACCTAGTTGATTAATTAGCCCTCCAAATTTAAAATGTTATGACTTTGTCATAATTTATCGGCCCCAAAAATTTTAATCTAGTTTTACCTATGATGTTAGATTCAAATTTATTTTATACTGATTGAACATTAAAAATCATAAATATACTGCATTATTAAATTTATTTATTTTATAAGGATATAAAATGATTGTAATTTTTAATTGTTAATTTCATCAATATTTCAGATATTTCATTAAGCGATTTTTGAATTTTAATTTTTAATATAGGATCTTTGCTGACTAAAAAATGCATATAAATTCAGTTACATTTAAGAGAAAGGTACAAGCAAAAATAATTTCACTAATTTTATTTGCTAGTGAACCTTTTTTTGCTAAGTGCTTGGATGTTGTGAATTTACATTTGGTGATACCAACACATTTTATAAATCATAATCTACGATCACAATTTTATATCAAAAGAATAATTTGCATTAAAAATTATCATTTCTCTCATTAACATCATTAGTGAAACGTATGAAAATACACATTTGGTTGATTTTCGTGATACGCATAAATAAGTAAGAAGTTTAGTTATCAAGAAGTACCTAATTAACATTGTTTTACTTGCTCACTATTTTTGAAGTATTACTTTCCTGTATGTTAATAATTAATTAAAAACTGTGTTATTAATGTCATTTTTTAAAATTGCGACTCATTAGTGTCAAGCGATAATAAACTTAATTACAGAACAATTTTATCTTTATATAGTTCATTTAACTCATTATGATCGTTACTGTATAAGTATAAGTTCTACCTGATTTGTTCATTTATGAACTAAAATAATAAAAAAACAGTAAAAATATATGATTGCGTGTTGTTTTAATAATAGGTTACTATAAAATATACTAAAATAGGCATTTTATGTTAATTTTACTTAAGTAAGGGTATTTTTCTCGTATGGAAAGAGATATATGCTTGAACTACATGTTAACAATTTGTATGCAAAAAATTATACAGGCAAAAAAAGAACATCAGCTAAAATATGTAAATTATTTTATCCTATTTTTTTAAAGATTTTAAAAAATAGACATTTTTGAATTTTGGATTTCTTATAATTCTTTAATCATTAAATTATATTGTTTTTTAGATCACCAAAATGATTGAAAATGGAATATCTTTCTTTTTAGAATTAATTGTAGTTTAAGTATTCTCCAAATATTTTCGAGCAGAATAAAATTTTTACTATTGACAAAATATTAAAAACAAATTATTATGTTGTACCAGTTTGTTATGAAGATCATTTTTTAAGTAAGTCAATGGATTTTTGGATTNTAAAATTTTTACTATTGACAAAATATTAAAAACAAATTATTATGTTGTACCAGTTTGTTATGAAGATCATTTTTTAAGTAAGTCAATGGATTTTTGGATTTTTTCATAATGAATGTCTTAGGACTTGTTGTAACGGTTTTTCCGGTAGACTTCTCACCGAATTTTTATGACCTTTTGTTATNGGTAGACTTCTCACCGAATTTTTATGACCTTTTGTTATTTATCTTCCTCTCTCAAATGGAAAATGTGTTTAAAATGCAATAAAATAAATGGCAACCGAAAAGGGCATAGGGCTAGTTTAGTTTAAACGGATGTTTAAGACGTGGATATTTTTTCCTTTGTAACAATGTAAGTCTCTTTGTTTTTATATAGTGCAAGAAAAATGAGATTCGGTAAATATATACAATATTATGAATTATTATCTTATTGTAAAATGATTTAGTATTAAAATGTTTAATAAACAGTTTCTTTTGTCATTCATTACACATGATTGATACACAAAGAATCGTTCTTTACAAAATTAAAAGGGATATTTTAAATTTTGTTACAATTTATTGATAATTTAATGTGTGTTTAATAATAAAAGATTTTCAAACAACTTTTTGTTTCGAAAATTGTTTTAAATACTATACAAAATGTAATTTTATATGTCATCATAAAATATCTAGTAATATATTAAACATTTTAGCTTCGATAGGAAGGTGAGAAGGTATTAATTTTACTATCATGTGTTTTTTATTATCTGTCGCCACTTTTTCTGAGCTCTCGCTGGTCCAATTTCTTTCGACGATACGTCAAAAGATCGCAAATTGTATCCAATTGAATACATTAACCTTAAAAATTGAAAAAAATTACCTCGTTTCCTATAAATAGTGGATATTTCTCAAAACATTACAATTTTTATAATTGGTAAATTTTGTCATTTTTTAAACTTTTTTTCTTAAAACTGCCTTAATTTTTTTTAAAAATTAACAAATCAAAATAAATTTTTTTTAATACAAGTACCTTAGGTATTTACTTAGTGGTCACCCTGTCCTAGTGAGTAGAAACGTATTTTTCGGTACACGGGATCTCGGGTTCGATCTCCAAGGTGTCAGTAAAATGTTTTTTGTGATTTTTTTATTGGCGGTGTCTAATATTTGGTGTAAGCTGCCCATAATACCAGTTCCGTCAATCATTGGCCTAGACAAGAACCATCTTTGACTCCCTAACAAGTGAAAGAGAGCTATCACCCTTTGTTGCATGTTAAGTTCGGGTAATAAAAGGAAGTATAACTAAAAAAAAACTTAAGGTATTTATTTGCGTATAAAGTTAACTTTTTCAACTTAAGTTTTGAAAATGTTCCGGAAATATTCCGAGCTTCAAACATATGTTAAAATAAAGCTTTCCGTCGACTTTTATGTATAAATGGCTACCAAAGTTAAAAACATAATATTTTTGTTTACATACATATTAAACTAGTTTATAAAGTAAAAAATGATCTGTTAAAGGAAATGGCTGGCAGAAAACAGCTTTAATACATTATTATAAAAGTTGCGAGTATTTTAAATATTAATTAAAGATGAGATGTGTTATATTATATTTATCATTTCAAAGTACTATTTCAAACTTTGTTATCATTTTCATAATTAGTTCCTTTTTTATTTTATTAGCTAGTTAAAATTTCAATACAAAATATTGAATATAATTTTCATACTAAAATTCTTTTTTTTAGTATGTATTTATTGAATTATTTTACTTATAAATCATAAACTTATAATCAGGATTTAAATAAAGAAATAGAAGTTGCTTTTAAAATAATTTAACAATTTCTTCTAAAAATTAAATACTACCTACAGGTTTGCATCAAAGCGTTTCTTATGATAGTGATTTTAATTATTGTCAGATATCATCTTTACTTGTCTGAATTAGCCATGTCCCTATTGTGTCGCGACTTCACTATGCTGGGTTGTTTTATTTTTATAATAATGTGTTTTTTTAAACAAAATTCGTCGAAAAACACATGTAGGTGTTGAAAGGTAAATAATTATTCAGTTACAATTATTCAAGTTATTTTATTATGTACAGTAATATAAAAACTTTCTATTGAGAAAAAAAAAATTTTTACTTAATATTTTACTTTTACGAGTTTTTCAATAATTTATCCTATTAAAATAATCTATACACTTATAAAATATTATGATCTTCTTAGAACTTTGGCCATAATAGTTTTTATGACTTTTATTTATGTTATTTAGGATAAATTTAAACATTATATGAAATACTTAGCTACAGAAATTTTAAAATTCACAAAGAGTATCCATTAATTATAAAAGCCGTTACAGTTATGGCTATAAATATACATGTATGTTCAATAAACGTGATAATGATCGGTTAAATAGTGGACGTTTAAATGTAATAATATTGTGGTGTTCGCGTTTTACCTGAATTTACCCGTAGGATATGGTCTATGTAAATGACAAAATTAAAGGGGCAAAATTCGTTTATGGAAATATATAAGTATTGTTACGCACGCCATATTCCGTATTTTGAATCATCTCTATTGTTTTACATGCCATACCTCTACCTCGAAGGAGTAATAGTTACCGATTTCATTGTATTTTTACATAAAAAAACTTAATATGTTTTTAAATGTAAACACGAACTACAAAATAAGTTTTTGGATATCTTATAGTAACATAAGCATTAAAAGTTCTAGTTGGTTTGTTATCGATTTACGGTTTATGCAAGCTAGTATAAAATAAATATTCAGGTATACTAAATTTTTTTTTATCTTATATATATGTTGAACTTTATTTCTATTAAATAATACATTTTTCTGTCTCTTTCAATTTATTGTAAAATTATTTTCATTAGTAAAATTTGTGACATATAAATCTAATCTATAATGTTGAGTTTATGTTTATTGATTACTATTTTCAGTTATTGTTTTTAATTATTAATTTTTTGTTTAGAAAATATGTATTTCTTAAGTATTGAGTTATTTTAAGTTATTTTAATGGCACGTTGGTTGTATTTATAAAAAAGTATACTATTAAATTTATAGGGAATTCCTTTGAATAACTTAAAATGAAGTTATACTTTTATATAACTTCCTTTTGCATACTTTTTTTATATCACAAAGAATAACGAGATACTTATTTAATTTCTAGTTAGATTTTTATAATTTCATAACATTGATAATTTTCTCCTAATTTACTAAATCCTTTCATCACGATACAATTTCGGATAGTTAAAAATGTTTACTTTTTATTGCATAATATTTGTTGTATCATATATATATTGTAATGGTACACTTGTCTATGTAGTACACAATGATATGTAAACATACACTTACATTATTATACACCGTAAACTTGCTGTTGACATGCAGCGATCAGTTGTGTGAAAATGTCTGCCGATCACGTTTGTGATATACACAATGAAATAAATAAAAATAAGAGGTACTGTAAAAAATACAGAGCCGATCGTTACAAAAATGAAATTCAATTTCATTTTTGTTATAATAATACATGTACATCAGCACTCATGGCGCTTGAGATGTTAAAAAATGAATTCATGTATTATGCATGCATTATTTGTGGGCATCATTAATTAATCAATAAAGATGGCAAAATAAGTATCGAAGATTAGAACATTTTCAATACAGATTTACGGTAATAAAACTAGTGAAGGAATGCACGCAGGTCATATGGCATACTTTCATGAATTATGTCATTACACACACACCTCACTGCACATATTTTGTCCCTCACACATAACCTTAGGTATATTAAAACAAAATTTTAAATAAGTTATAAAACTATATAGTAAAACAATAACGTCAATTATATAAATAATGTATCATTTAAGTTTGTTTTATTCTATATTTTGTTGATAGTAAAAAAAATGTAAGTTTAATAAATATATATAGAATGAAACAATAATAACTGACAACTCATATAACTTATAATGTACATATTTTTTTTAAATAATTTTTTTACAATATACGACTATATTTAAAATATGTTTTATGTAATTTTTCGCAATAACAAAAAAAAAATTATTTTTTTATAAAAACTTTTTTTAAGATTTGAAGATTGCTACTTTCTAGATAATATTAAAAGAAAATTTTTTATACTAAAAACTTTTATTTTAATTCGGTAGTTACGTTTCCACTTAATTTTTTAATTTTTTTACAATTTTTCTATGGTATCAAACCTTAGTCTTCATATGTAAAAGACGGACGTAATCACTATCTTTTGACGTTATTTATTGATGACAGTTGCGATTTTTTTTCGCCAATACGATGAAAAATCGTAACGTTAAAATGAGCTTTAACAGAAATGATTATCTCAAATCAATATAACAAAATGTTAGAAACATTTTCGTATGTTAACTACAAGTGTTCGATGGTTAGCCAAGTTAACAGTGATAAAAATTATTAATTTGCGTGTTCTACCATTGATATTATATTATTATAGGATATTCCTTGTTATGAGATTGATAATAAATGCACTTTTTCATTATTATTCACGTTTAGATTTATGAAACATGTACCTATTTAAATAATTGATATATTTTTCAGACATTGAATACATCACACTTGGAAGTATAGTTTTCCTGAAAACACAATGTGTACTATTATCGAATCGAATGTTGTGAATTTGACGTGACACTGTATGGGGAGTGTCAAAAACAGTAAAACTTTCTTATTGTGGTGATACAATTGATTTAATCTTATACAGTTCAATAAAACAAAAATAAAATCATACTACACAAACTATGGTCCTGAGATTTGTTTTCTGTGGTCAATGTTCCAACGTGGTCTTTTTCCTTTGTACAATTACGATCATAATTTCAGGTAAGACTGTTTTTATCTATTAAGTTAGTTATGCATTAATAATCTTAAATAACAAGTTATTTCTTTTAAACAATTATTCGTTAATATACTTAAAAAATATTAAAATATATTCTAAATAACGTATAAACGCATTATGTAATTTTTTATGTCGAAAATAATTAAATTTCGATATAATTAAAAAAAAATTTTATGTGATGAATAATTTATAAGTGGATTTTATGTCCTTATGGTGGAGTAACTTGAAATCTTTTATTGAAAAATTCCAGTCTAAGCAAAATAATATTAAAATTACTCTTATAAACTAATAAAAAAATAATTTTACTGTATTTATAAGGATAATAAAGATTAAAAAGTTTCAAGATAATTCAAAATAGTTAATGAATACTAAAAGTACGATGTAATATTATTTCACTCATTTTTATAACTTTATAAATGATTAAGTTGCTCATAAAAAAATGTGTGTTCATTCTCGAGATGAATATTGGTTTGGTAAGGCTTAAAAAAAAGTGAAATGATAGTATTAATTCTATAAATGTGCTTTGGTTAATTTGAAATAAATATCATAGTTTATGATGAAAATTTAATTACTTAAAGATCAGTTTTACGATAGAATGTTATCTTTTATAAAAAAAATACATTTATTTTTAACATTTACTTGTATTTTACGATTCAATTTATTTAATTCGTAAATATTATAAAGTAAAAAAATCAATCGAAAGATTAAAATAAATTACTTCAGTATCATTTTCAACGTCATTTATTGTTATAAGAAAAATATTTGGCGTGGGCTTAGCGGTATAAGAATTACAATTCAATAACTTTACTCAAAAAAATACCTGTTTATTGCTTTAGCGATACAATGTAGAATTGAACATTAAATTAAGCTCTCTATTTTTGTATAAATAAACAAATTTATGTTGTTCAATTTTCGAATTCAATTATATAAGTTCAATGTTTTTCTCAATTGATCAAAAATGAAGTATTTGTTATGGTCATCCTTTATACCTTATAAGGTTGTCAGCCTTAATTTTTCAAATGATAACATATGTAATTAATTAGCTTACTTATTAGATGATGATACAATTAATAAAATGACTGGTCGATAACATCTTTTGGAATACCATTTCAGATGTTATTAAAAATTTAAAGTATTGACTGGTGATAATAAGTTTGAGGTGCTAATTTTACAGCGAGACTATATTTTTATAAATGTCACGGTCGTACTTTTTATCCCACTCCAATATAATCAAGTCAATAACTTCCGAAATACTGAAAAACTGAAAGTTGTAATAGACTAGTAATTTTATTAATTATATCATTAAATATTAAATAAGCTAGTTAATTATGCGTTTTGTCATTTGAGAAATTAAAGTCGACGTCCTTATTGGATGCAACGGATGAATATAAAAAATACTTTATGATTGATAAATTGAAAGAAACATTAAACTTATAAGAAACCAATAAAAAAAATTTTAATATAATTTTTATTATTCTATTAATAAAGTCCATGTAATTGTCAAGGTCCATGACAATTGAATCACTTTGTATAATAAACTATATACTAAGTTTATAACCGTCAACATAAGTGCAATAAGAAATTTTTCAATTATATAATGTTAAGCTCCAACTCTAAAACGTCTATTTTTTGGTTTTTTGTTTGCAAATTATAGAAAACGGAGTTGTAGCTAACTTGTTTAATTCTTACTAAGTTTGAATAAATTTCGAAATTTGAAAATAGTGTAACAAGTACAAGAATATCAGAAGTAGTACTATAAAATATTTATGTATAATAATATTTTTATTACAAAAGCATTTTTTTTTTAATACTCTTATGTTATGTAATGTAAATTTAGAATTTATGTCTATTTAGAAATAGTTCGAAAAATACTACACAATATTCTATGTTACAATGATTATGCTTAAAATTATTGAAATAATTATCGTCATCAGTATCAACAACTATGCAAGTTATTTATTTTGGCATTTTTAATTAAATGTAGACAAGTTATTACTAAAACCACTCACACAACAGGCTTAACCAAATATGCTCGTATATTCGTTCTCGCGACCGTAAAATTAAAATAGGAATAATTGGGACAAGAGCAGTAGATGAAACATAAGCTTTGCTATATCTCGTAAAAATGATAAATTCTAATGGTCGAACATCTAAAAACTTAAATGTAGTCACTTTGGAGGGCATTATAATTTTGATCAGTGGCGGCTTGGACGACGGGACGATCGCACTCCCTACTAAAATTAATTAAAAGAAGAAAATTAATTGTATAATTTTAATTGTACATTTTTATTAAATAGTAAAATAGTTATAATACATTTGTCGTGTGCGAACATTAAAGTTGATTCCCTCAATATATGCGGGTACGCATGCGCACACGAGCAGTGTTTGGTGGACGACCGACAGCGAACAACATTAAGAAACGTATATTATACACGAGGCACAACAATCGTGTGTGTGCGGGTACAGTTCAGCTGCGATCTCATGTACAGGTTTTGGACGACCGGCAGCGTCGTCCATACAATAGAATATTAGTACACTACTATATTGGGCAATTTATTTTTAGAATTAACTTCGGGTACGCTCGTCGCTATCGTTTGCTATAAAAGCATAATAGCTATTATTATTTTCATTTCTATTTTCTACTGCGACCTTCAAAGTAATAATAAGTGTTTTATTTTATTATATTTTATTTGACAATATTTTATATCTATAACTAGCGGTATTTTATTTAAAATCACACCACAACCACCAGCACCCACGAGCCGCCACTGATTTTGATAATCTTAAAATTTCATTTCTCGGAATGTAATGAGGATAGGAAAGATCATTGTTTGGGTATTATTCGTTTTTAAAGATTTTGAGAAACACATTATTGTTCCGAATAACCTCTTAAATACGTGCTGGGCTTAACTAATCATCTTCTAACGTGATAATTGAAACAAAAAAAAATTTAATTCAAGAGATGATTTTTTATGTAAAAAAATTACGCTCTAATTTTTTACAATTATTTGTTAATTTAAACGTTGATACACCAAAATTTACTCTTGTAAAATTTATAACGATTTCCTAATAAAATATAGCCTTATTATATTTTGCATTTTGGGATTTAATCGATAAATAATTCAAAGACAGTTATATTTGTAGACACTGGAACACATTAAAAGTTGAAGAATTACATTTTTATATTATATTTATATTGTTGTTTTTATATTTGTAAGTGTACTGTTTAAATGAAGAACGAATAAAAATTAACTGAAATCTGATATTTATGTAAATGTTTTGTTAAGAATTATTTATGAATAAGTATTGTAGTAAACATGAAAAAATTATTTTGAAATACTAATTTATTTTTAAATTGTTTTTTTTTATGGATTTATTATATATTTGAATAAAAGGGTTTGCAATTTCAAATTAAGTTAAAATATAGAAATATTTAATAATAAATAAATGAAAATCAATCCAAATAATTTTTTCATGTTTGGTTTATAGAAATATATACTTGCACAAATTAATTCTACATGAATAATTGTTGTTTGAATTTGTGATAATCTGATCATATGCTACAAAAACTTTATATAATTTTTTTTAAATTAAAAATAAATAAGTAAATTTAATTATAGATATTTATATTAAATATATAAGAACTGTATAAATATGTATTATATTTATACTGTTTTTAGAATAAATGAGAAAAATAATGAAAGTCTATGGGGATATATCTAATTTAGATCGATCTTCAAAGATTTTAACTCTTTGGGGTTTTCAACTTCACAGCCTCTACTTTTTTCATTAACAATGGTTTATCTTAATCAGATTTAGAAGCTAAGTAAACTGTTAAGAGGACTATTACTTTTCATGCATTATTTTTCTCTAAGCTTGGGTTGATTTAAAAAAAAAAAAGAAAGATTCTGTATTTTACAAAGTGTACTTTTAAGTTGTAGAAATAATTGTATTTCCTACGTTCTCTAAAGTTTGTTATAATCGAATTCTTTTGTGAATACTGAAGACTATGATTCATAGTTTTTAGTAATGATATGAAATATTATTAAAAGTGTATACCTAAAAAAAAAGAGGTTGGTATGATTGCTTGCGTTGAGGTTGAAGAGCATTTTTATTTTGTCGTCTTTACGGGTGCCGCGTGCGACTTATTGCCAATCCAACAGTATAAATAAGCACTTTGTCGCATCTTCTTTCGCGACATTAGACGCATTGTACGCTCTCTTTAGGAGTCTAGCGAACATAGTGAGGTATGAAGGAGTAGACTTTGGTACGCATGTTGTCAAACTCGGTACGACAACCATACACGAAGATGATAGATGATTTATAATATAATATCGCCACGGGCTCACATTTGGTATAATCCCGTGTATATTGGGGTGTATAGCGTTTGATATATAAATATATAATATACATGTGTGGGCTGTGCTCGTCCGGGTGTAGTCCGCATGTTACATAACTCTAAAAGTGTTTGTATATTATTCGGTTAAGGTATCGATCATCTGCCATAGGCATCACTTAACCTAAAATGCTTTATGCCACAAAGTTTTGAAGTTTTCAACGTCACCTAAATACGAATTTCAACTAGGTATTCTTTTGATGTTTCTTTTTTCATATTATTAAATTAATAACCCGGGTTCGTTAGAATGCTAATAATACATCAAAAGATGATATTTCTACAAATATCACTCAATCATTGAGATTCAGAAAGGTCTTACAAGAAATACTTGTTCAAGTGCATACATTGATTTAAAATTACTGGGTAGTTTTTCGTTTAGGACTAACTAAGGTAACGCGATCAAAATAACTGCGTAGTATATCTTACTTAATTCAAGGACTTAAACTCCCTATAATTGCACTATAATAAAAGCGTTCAAATCTAGTTGTCAAGCAAAGTATGTCCCTTTATCGTCAAAACAATAGGTATCATATAAATAGCATTTCAGGAACTTGTTAAATCTTCTACTGGAACTATTAATAATTTTTT